ATGCTAAGCGAAATTAGTCAGAGAAAGACAAATATCCTATGACTTCACTCATATGAGGCCTTTAAGAAACAAAACAGATGAACATGAGGGAAGGGAAACAAAAATAATATAAAAACAGGGAGGGGGACAAAGCATAAGAGACTCTTAAATATGGAGAACGAACAGAGGGTTCCTGGAGGGGGTTTTGGGAGGGGGCATAGACTAAATGGGTAAGGGGCATTAAGGAATCTACTCCTGAAATCATTGTTGCACTGTATGCTAACTAACTTGGATGTAAATTAAAAAAAAAAAAAAAATTTCTCATTAATTGGATTCTGCCATTTTATCTTACAAAAACAAAACATACCCTTTTTAGATGTACTGAAGCATACTACATTTAGAAAGTTTAAAGTAGAATATTCTGTGAAAATCAGGGTTATCTTGCAATAAAGCTCCTCTGTATTCTAAAATGGTCAATAAAATAACAAAGGGAAACAGTTAAAGTTGACTGAAATTCGTAACTGTCTTAAGGCTACCTTGACTGATGCAACTCTTAGGATCTTAGATAGGTTTTTAAATTTGGGCACATGGGTGGCTCAGTTGGTTAAGCATCTGACTTCAGCTCGGGTCGTGATCTCATGGTTCTGAGATCGAGCCCTGGATCAGGCTCCCTGCTGTCAGCACAGAAGCCTGCTTCAGATCCTCTGTACTGCCCCCTCTTGGACCCTTCCCCACTCTCTCACACACTTTCTCTCTCTCTCTCTCTCTCTCTCTCTCAAAAATAAACATTAAAAAAAGGAAATGTTTTCAAATTATATTCAATATTCAATTATATTCAATTATATTCAAATTATATTCAATATTTTCAAATTATATTTCAATTATATTCAATATTCAAATTATATTCAAAATTATTTCAAATTACATTCAAACACACTCCACATTTCAGAATTTATCAAGAGAAAGCTTGTGTTTTATTACATCTCCTTCAAAACCAGGGCAAGACTAGGGTCCGGACTGCCAGCAGATGAAAATCTACAAAAGAAGGTACTGTGCTCACGAAGAATGAACAACACTGGTTTACAGAAAGCTGTAACTGCACAAAGGAATAAAAAATGGAGTTGAAATTTGCAACATCTACAAGTGTATTCTAATACACTCTGGGGAACACTATTTGCTTTTGTGAGGCTGGCTGTTCTCATAAATAAAATTCAGGCCACTGAATAGTAATAAGGAAAGTATATTTCAGGTAAATCAAGATGTATCTGATGCATACAGCCGATGAATTTAAACCTTGAACTTTGCTTTAGCGGCTTTTAGAATTTAAACTCCCCAGGAGTCAAATTCATGCATCTATATCTGTGTATCTTAAAGAGGCCCCTGACAAGGGATCTGCTTCCCTCAGATGGGATGCTGTACCGGAGGACCAGAAAAAGAATCTAATGCTAAAAGCGATAAAATCGCTGTAAGACGTTGCCCCGCCGAGTCAGTTACATATTTTTAGGCTCTATATCCATGTATGTAATTTTATTGCCTTTTAAAGGAAAATGGCTTTAGAAAATAGTAAGAACGCTTGTGTAGGAGGCTGTTTCCTTCAAATTTCTTTAACTCTGGACACCGCAACGGATCACCACCTTTTGATTTCATCATCTGACCTACAGTATAAAGAGTAAGTGGGGATGGAGGAAGATGACCCCTTCTAGAATACAAAAAAGACACTTACATGGTGGCGATAAAGAAGACTACATTATCGGGGCACCTGGGGCTCAGTCAGTTGGGTGTCCGACTTCGGCTCAGGTCACGATCTCACGGTCCATGAGTTCGAGCCCCACGTCGGGCTCTGTGCTGACAGCTAGGAGCCTGGAGCCTGCTTCCCATTCTGTGTCTCTGCCCCTCCCCCGTTCATGCCTCCCTCCATGTCTGTCTCTCCCTCTCTCTCTCTCTCTCTCTCTCAAAAGTAAACAAATGTTAACAACAACAAAAAAAGAAAACCACATTCTCATTTAAATGGCCAGGCTCCTGGGCGTCCAGCAGTCTGCTTCAGTGTCTAGCACAGCTCAGTGATCTGGGTTTATGCACATTCCAGGAACTTAAGAAGTCCAATGTGTTTCATTAACTCTGGAAATCAGATATGTTAACTTTTTTTTTTTTTTAATGTTTATTCATTTTTGAGAGCGAGGGTAGGGGCAGAGAGAGAAGGGGACAGAGGATCCCAAGCAGGCTCTGCGCTGACCGCAGACAGCCGGATGAGGGGCTCAAACTCATGAACCATGAAATCATGACCTTAACCGACTGAGCCACCCAGGCGCCCCCTGTTGTTCAACATTTTAAATAAAAAACAATCTCTTGTAATTTTGTTTTTGTTTACACCTTGAGTACGTTCACATTCCCTTACTCCTGTGGTCTCCCGTTAAGTCTCAACTTTTGATTAAAATTAGGTCCATTTTATTGGCTACAAAAAATTAAGGAAGGGAAGGGTTAAAGAAAAAAAAAAAGACTTTGGTCAGTTACAAACTCCTGCCATTTAAGTTCCACTGGGCCCCGGGTCTCCTACAACAATTCCTTTTCAGAATCATTGCTATCTGTTTCCAACCTCAAATCCTTAAAATTTCACTCCCCCCAGCCCAACACTGTCTTGCCCTTTGACTGTCTTGTCTCCCTTGACAGAGAGGGAGACACAGAATCTGAAGCAGACTCCAGGCTCTAAGCTGTCAGCACAGAGCCTGACGCGGGGCTTGAACTCACGGAGTGTGAGATCATGACCTGAGCTGAAGTCGGATGCCTAACCGACGGAGCCACCCAGGCGCCCCTGAAAGCACAGTTTATTAAAATAACTACTGAACTACAAAAGTCCAGTTTCAGTCTATGTTGTTATTCTGGCATATCTAATCCTCTCCTCCCAAATTCTTTACAGTAATTAATCCAGAAATATTTATTAATATTATTATGCGGGGACATACTTGGAGACAGAGAAGATATCTAAAATACGGTCCTTAAAAAGTTGGGGAGGTAGGACATACACAGTAGGGTGACTAAGAACTTGATATCTGAGTCAGACCCAGAAACAGATTTCTGGGTTCAAATCCTAGCTCACTGCTCATCAGCTCTGGGACTTGGACTAAGTCATTTACCCCTTCTAACTCTGTTATCCCTACCTATGAAATGGGAATAATAATCCTACCTCATAGGACTGTTGGGATAACTAAAAAAGAGTATTGTCCAAGTGAATTTTCAACTCAATGCCTGGAATATAGTATGTTGTAATCAGTATAAGCTATTACTTCACACAAATGAACATTAGTGAATGAGGATTATTTCAAGTAACGTGAGTGAATGTAAATAAAGGGAAATAAAAGTTTTATTACTGAAACCCTCTGCTGATTATGAAAACACTTTCCTGGTTGTCCTCTGTGTCCTATATACTGCTCTCACTATTATCCTTTTCTCCTTAGAAAGATCTCAACGTTAATGGCTTTATTGACTAGAAATTAAATCCCCAAATTTATATGTTTAGCCTTAACCTTTCTGGAATGT